GCAAGCATCTCTGTAAGATGGTTTTACGGTCTAACGGATAAGAAGCCTGCGCAGGAGCAGACGCTCATTCGACCAAGCCACGCCAAGGCTTTTCTTTGGGCTACAAAGCCCAGCAGGCACGTGCGCAGGAAAGCCCCTGCGTACGTATGCCGGAGGCAGTCAGTCGCCCTTAACGACTCTCTTTTTTCTTTTCAACGGGGCGGCAAACGTCAGTCAATGTGGCGGCAATATTTTCACCGTCGATCTAAAGATCTGTAAAACATGCAAACATACGTGCCAATAGAAAAGGCCCAAAGTACTTTTGCAGCTGCATGGACATTCTGTGGATGAATAGGTAGATAGTGCGTTCTATGGACTTCTATGCTGCGAATGAATCTTGAACCAGTTCCTACAGCTTGGTGGTACAGCCATAGTGGACTACTGAGGGTGACTAAAGTTCAAAATACTCTGAGCTGATGCTAGTGAAAAAATGCAACAGGAAACAGCGGACCCAGTCTAAGAGCGTATACTACCTAAGCATGAGTTGCTACGAAATGTAGATTTAGTCCACTTTGAAGTTCTACCTGGTAGCGGTTAGTGGGATCAAAGATGGCCATTTTCCAGCAAGAAATGTAACAAACAGTTACTTCGGTCTTAAAACCTTGGGATAAAATAGTGCTTGCTAAGTCATAGATGTGCAGTCTTTGAGTTCTGAGTAATTAATAGCTTATCACGCAAGAATTTCAAACAAAAGAGAGTAGACAGAAAATAGATATCTCTGGGTTCAAAAACTTATTGCAGACAGAATCATTCAGGTGTACACAAAGTCAGCTGGACATCAAACGCAGGCTAATTTTGGGTGCAGATAGGGAGCTAAGAAAATACGAGCCAAACAGGTTTCTAGCTCTTAAAGGCCTAAGAAAGTGTAGCGCAAATTAGACAAGAAAAGCGCAGAAGTAGGCAACGCGACGATAAAAAACCGACAGGTCGTTGTTTACTTAATATTTCGGTTGGCGAATAAGTAGGATCAAACTTTAAGCCAAGGACGTCTATAGTGAACTTAAAATATGAAGGTTTAACAATAGCAACTGGTGCGTGCTCGTAGTAATATATTTAGCGCAAGCGACGAGTATCATTCCTGTCTCGAGAGGGATTAGATGGTTGACTGCTGAACTTGTCTACAGTAAATCAAAATTTGCGTCGTACAAATAACTTTTCTGCAGCAAAACAAGGTCAAGACCAAGGGGTACAGGCGTGATCGCAGTGATCAGCCCAGTTAGACCGCCTGTCTAACCGAATCACGTATAAGCCGTATTGTTTATTGTAGAGGGACGTGTTAGGTTGCCAGAAAGATAGGTATCTCGGAATCTGTCGCAATCATCATTAATCTGTCGGCCGACGGATGATAAAGTAAGCGCATGAAGTACGTGGCGCGAGCCTCCGTCTAGAACGTACGACAGCAGTTAATACCCAGAAGGACATAGCGCAACTCGACTAATACACGCTATCGGCCCCATTAGGTCTAACAAGAACAACATTTTACGAAATGATCATTTGCTCAGTGTAGTCAGCACAAAAATAACACTCAAAAGATAATCAAACAATGATAAAAACACTGCTGCAGACAAACAAAATTTGTAATACGAGAAAAGAATTTGACGCCTTCTAGCGATGAATATTTTTTGTTTCACGCGGCAATGAAGATAGATCAAAGGCAGAGAACTTGTACTGGCCAAAAAATTCAGCAAATAATTATATTTCCAGAGGCGGAGTAAAGGGAAGTCGCAGTTAAACTGTGGACGCAGATAATTCAGCGGTCTCCTACTTGTAATCCAACCGTTAATGTAAACGACTTTGGCTGACCAGGAGAACAATGATAGTTAGAAGAAAGTTTGCACGTTTACAAAATACAAGTTTATATAACGACCGTATTGCGTTTCGTCACTTAGTGGCGTTTAAACTCATCTTTTGAAAACCAAATAATGTATTAATGAGGTTTGATGGAACAGTTCATTTGAGCAAATAAATATTAGCGTGGCCAGAAACAGTGGGAAACCGTCCACCTTCCCATAAAAATAGGATGAGAAAAGTTGGAGAAAGTCTAAACGACGAATACCGGACAGACATTTATGTCGTATGGTGGACTACGAATCGAATACGCAGAAAAGTTCAGATAGATAATGCATGAAGATAAACAGAGTTCTTTGACGTAAGTCTTACCTGAAATAGGAGATCGATAATCCACAGAGTTTGGTTTTGAGATGCGAAACAACGCTAATGCCACTGCGTGTGGACACCATGAAAGGCCGCGGTTATTGCAAGTACATGAGATCGATGTTATTTTACACCTGACAGTTTTCGTTTTAGGGAAATGCCAAGTACCTGTCAAAAGTCATAGACACCTTGACGGATTTGCATTCTGGAGGCATACAGGCGCCGACGTTAGTCTTGACCACGCCTGTTAAATGAAAGCCTGAGAAATGCCGTCGGAATAAAAGATGTTAGTTACCGATTTGGATAACATTATCGACACAATTAGTGAGGAAAAGGTGCTCGCCTATGCCGTAGGGAGATTTGTCAGCTGTCAGCTTTCCACAGTTGGTGAAAGACGAGTAGGTCTTGATATCTGAATTGTCTCGAGGAAACGAGTAATATAATATCCGTTCCTGGACAGGATCGGGTATATTAACGAGGGTATTTTCGACATATTCAAACGGAAGGTGAGAGGCCACACACATCGCTGACAAATCGAATAGCGAGTACAGCTTGGAAACATAGCGATTGCCTATTGCTTCGTCGTCTATACGTCTACATTTTTTCGGAGGTTGTTGAGCCGGAGCGTCTATTTGATGCTTCATTTTTGCCAAGTTTGGACTTTTAACCAGATCACCAGAGGTCCAAACGGGCAGCTCCAACCATCCACATAGAACAGCGAAGCATAGCGAAAACAGCGGGCAAACTGGAAATTAACAGCTGATTGCACAAAATTGTGCGTTCAAACAAAGTGACCTAATATGCGAAGAAAGAATAAAGGACGCATTTAGTTATATTACTGAGCATATTTATCATAAGAGAATTTACAAAAACGCTTT